GACAGGGTAGGCCTAGATTAACGTTGGCTAGTGTTGTAAATAGATATATGGATCTACTTAATTTGACTAATGAAATGCCCTTTGATAGGGCCGTTTGGAGAAGAAGGATTCATGCAGCCGACCACATTTGATGGGACTTAAGGCTTGTTTTGTTTGCTTTGATTTGGTTTGGTTTGTCCATGATATACTAATTACAAATATTATATATATATATATATATATATATTTCTTGAAGTCAATCGTAAAAATTTATATGAAATATTTTTAAAAAAAATTTCAATCTTATAATTAATAAGTGTCCTCTCTAATTTAATTTTTTAACTACGTCACTACTAACCACCACTAGCCACCACAACCAACAATCATCACATTTGGTGTTAGGCCATCATTTTTGAGTTATTACTTATGTAAATTTATAAAAATTTATGTAATTTTATAATAAGATTCTATAATATATGCATTAGGATCAGAAAAATTTCCATTCCAACATGTAAATAATCTATTTACCAAATATATTTTTTTTATTTTTATTATATAAAAAGTAATCATAAACATGTCAACTAATTTTTTTAAGGGCAAATTACAAACACCCTCTCGAGATTTGGTAAAAATACAGATTCCCTCATGAGGTTTGAGAAATTATAAATTACTCTTGAGAGTCAAATTTTCATAACAAATTAGAAGAAAATAAATTAAAAGAAATTAGAAAAGAATATATATGAAAATAAAAATCTCAAAAAATAATTTATTATAAAAATATAAACTTCAAAAATAATTTATAACTTCTCAAATTTCAAAAGAAATCTATATTTTCACCGAATGTCGAGGGGCGTTTGTAATTTGCCCTTTTTTTTTAATAAAAGACAGCTTACATCACCAAACAAACGGCATCATAAAATTAGTTGAAGTATTGGCAAATTGAAAACAGCACCACTACTTCCCACTTCTGGATCGAAAATAACAAACAAACTCATCAAGTATTTCTTCAAGATGACCGCTGGTGGCGCGCGGTTGTTAGATCGTCGGAGCTCGAAGAAAATCATCTGCGACGCCGCCGCCGCCGGTGCCACCGCAGGTTTTGCTCTTTTTCCCAAAATCCCTCGATTTTGATTTAAAATGTGTTTTTGAGTTTTTGTGATTTCAGTTAGGGTTTGTTCATTTCGTGATATTTTTGTTAATTTTTGATAAAGCTAGTGAATTTGTTAAACTTTTTGGTGTTTTTGATAGTTAATTGTCAATTATGTGAATGCTTTGATCAGAAGCTGTCGATTGAGTCAATTTTTGGCTTTATCATATGCCATTTTTGTGCTCTGCAGGGGCTATAGCTGCCACTTTTGTGTGCCCATTGGATGTGATCAAAACCAGATTGCAAGTCCATGGCCTTCCTGAAGCTCACCATTCTGTCCAAAAGGTATTTGTTCTTGTATGAATTTTGCTTACTCTATAGCTAGAAACAGTATGGTTTGTTTGTTTGTTTATACAGTAGCATTTTTGGACTGTAATAATGCTTTTGGCTTAAGTGTCTTTCTGAAACTGGAATGTATCGAAAACTCAGGTAATGGAATGGTCATTCCATCAAAATATCCATTCTCGTGTTTGGTTGATGAAAAAAATAATGAAAAATACATTGCACATGGAATCGTCATTTACCATTATAAGAGAATGATCATTCCGTAGGGGAGCCTAAGGAACGACAATTCCATTCCATTCCATTCCATCTCATTCCAGTGAACCAAATAAAGCATCAGTATGGAAGTTGATTGCTTTTGCAGAAACTATTTGTGCCAAAGCGCAACAAATGTTTTGTTTTTTTCTTTTGAACTTTCATTAGTAAGAAGGTTGATGAAATTGGGTTGGTAAATAAATGCTAAAATCATTTGTAACTGTGGTTAGTTAGAGGTGCATTGTTTGGATTTTGGCGGCATCAATTTCTCATAGTGAAGTTTGCTATGCGCGAGTCTATACAACAATTGAAATTATATATTTGATTAAATTGCAGTCCATTCCAAAGCAATTGCACTAGACTTCACAGCTCCTACGTAGAGGGACAGTAGAACATAGAGCGTTATGTGACATTAAACTATTAGTTCCTGCTGTGATCTCTTCATGTGCTATAAGCTGTAGGCTCTTTATGCACTTCTGAGAATGCTGAAAAGGGAACCTTACTCCTTAATATGGAGTTGTCTTCAAATCATACTTCAATTTATTAACATGGTAAAAGCATGTAATAAAATGACTTTTATTTGGTAACTCATTCAGTTAGTGTTACGAAAGGGATAGATGATGAGGGACCCAAAAACTGAATCCTATAGTTCAGGATTACACGTTCTTCCACAAAATTAATGGAGATAACCATTTTGTATTAATATATTCAATACAAGGATCAATTCTTTGCTCACAAATGTGGCCAATGATTTCACTAAATTTCTTTAATCAAACAAAACATCTTTGGGCAAAATATTTTTATATAATATATTTGTGAAGTTCTAATGATCCTAACATAATTCTTCTCTATTTGTTAGATTACAAAAATAGACATAGTCCATCACCTATTTTATGCTAAGAGTTTGTTTACCCATTTTGGTTATAAAATTCAAAGGTATGGAAGGTAAAATCCTTTGAAGTCCAAATGAAATTCCAATTATTTATTTATTTTTACATTCTTCCACAATATGACAGAAGATTTTTGGCATTTTTCATTATTAGAGTTATCTTGCATAATCTAACCTTTATGGAATATAATGAAGTCAATGGACTTCAATTGCTCTAACCATGTAAGAGCTCCGTAATAGGAGTATAAGACCTTTTTCATTGACTTCTCTACCACTTGGGTGAGTACGGTAGTCCACTTGGCTTCATGTAACAACTAACAACTAACAATTTTTTGACTGTATCTCCTTGTCTTATCATTATCAAACTATGCAACACACATCCTCATTACCCTCTTTTTTTGGTTAAGACGTCACTATTAACAAGCTTTAGCCTCTTTGGCTAGCACAAAATCTCCACCAGTGCACATAGGGATTTTCTGGGGAAAAAAATTATGTTCATATGTTAGAATTTTGCACAATCAACCATATTGGTCTAATATTTATTGATTTTTCAATTCCTCTTCTATTATTTGGTTTTAGAGATGGAAACTAATTTTCCCTGATAAATAACTATGAATTTACTAAAATGAAAGGCCCAATGAATAAATAGATGAGCTATACAAATAGAAAAATGATGCTTAACCTTTGGACTGAGTTTTTTTTAGCTTCCTCTCCCCAAATGTTCATTTTTTTTTTTTTTTAAATTTACACATGCTCTTCTTATATATGTTGATGTACTTAATGCGCTTCATGTTTGGTGACAATCAGGTAGTATCATTATTACAAGCCTACAGAATATAATACGAACCGAGGGTTTGAAGGGACTGTACCGTGGCCTTTCACCAACATTGGTGGCACTACTTCCAAACTGGGCAGTGAGTATTACTTTTCTCGAGTTGTTTCTTGAAGATTAATGACCAGTACTCCTTTATTATAGAAGCAATTGCAGCTTCAAATATATATTAAAAATTTTATGTACTTGAGTGCACCTTCATATCTTT